TGCTATCTGTGAGTATCTGGGTGTGAGAGCGCGACAACGAAGGCGACAACGACGACTTCAGTGACGTCCCCTTCCTCTGGACATCTTTCGGGAGAAGCGAGGGAAACACAAGTGGAAGGGCGAGGGTGAATTCCTCTTGTCGTTCTTACTGCGGCAACTCAAGCAACCGCGCATGGCGTTGCTTCGCCCGCTCTCTGGCGTGCTACTGGCGGCACCTGCTAGCATATTGGGTGCGCAAATGCCACGCCGGCTATATCGCGGTGGCCACCTGCGTATGAGCCTTAATGCGAGCGAATCTGAGTGTGAGTGATCCGAGATGTGAGCGAGTTGGAGTGCGAGGGGATCTGGGTATGATTGAGTCTGAGCGCGAGCGAATCTGAGTGCGAGAGGGGTTGATTGCGAGTGAGTCTGAGTGTGAATGTGTCTGAATGTGAGTGTAATGAGTACGTAGCACCCCGCAATTGAGGATAAGAGTAAGGGGGCGGACGCGGGCGTGTCGCGGGTGTGTCGCGGGTGGGTCGTAGAAGTGTCGCGGGCCGGATCGCGAGCGGGACGACGACAACAAAGTCAAGCAACAACAACAAAAACAACAACGCAACAGCAATCTCCACCGTGGAAACCCACTGCAGCCACGCACCCAGGGACAGCAAATGACCGTTCGGCCCCTTCACTCTGACAAAACTGGATATGAGTGAACCTGAGTATGAGGTAGCCAGAGTGTCAGCGAGTCTGAGGGTGGGCGAATCTCAACCCGACTGAATCGGAATGTGAATTAGTTTAGGTGCGAATGAGTCTGGGCTTGTGTGAGCATGAATATGATGGAGTCTAACTGTGAGCGAATCTGAATATGAATCAGCCTGAATATGGGTGAATCTGAATGTGATGCGTGAGCCTGAATGAAAAAGAAACGCTGGTGAGTGAGTCTGAGTGCGAATGAGTGCGTTTGAAGGAAGAAAAAGGAGGAGGAAAAAAAGGAGGAGGAAGAGGATGAGGAGGAGGAGGAGGAAGGGCAGGAGGAGGAGGAGGAAGAGGTGGAGGAGGAGGAGGAGGTGAGTGAGTGAATGGGCGAGAGTGAGTGAGTGAATGAGTGAGTGGATGAAATGGGTGGGTTGGTGAATGAATGAAAGAGAAACACACAGATCCGAATAGAGGGGGGGGAGAATCCGGCAAACCGCCTGAAACATCCCCACAATCTGGGCGCGAATCCTGGAGTGTCCCCACACCTGGCGGCTCCCCCTTTGCGGTGCACACATGTAACGTCTGCTACAGTGGGCCACCAACAGATAAACGTCTAGGGGTCGGAAGCAGGGTAACCGCCTGAAACATCCGCGCAATCTGGGCGCGAATGGGCGAGTGTCATATTCCCTGGCGGCTCCCCCTTGGGGTGCAGAGGTGCCACGCCTACTATATCGCTGTGAACAGTGGGCCGTCGAAGAGGAAAAGTCTTGGTGCAGAAACAAAAAAAGCCGCCTGATAATTCCCTACAATTTGGGCGCGAACGGGCGAGTGTCAAACCCCCTGGCGGCTCCCCCTCGGGTTGCTCGATTGCCATGCCTGCTACATCGCGGTGAACAATGGGCCACCAACCGGGGAACACTTCGGGGGGCAAGCAAACCTCATGAAACGTCCCCACAATCTGGGCGCGACCGGGCTCATGATACACCCTGGCAGCTCTGTGCCCAAGTGCCGCGCCCGCTATATCGCGGTGAACACTGGACCACCCACTTACTCCGACGGTAGGACCCCGCATGAGAATCTAATTAGCTTGCCCTTAGCCCTTTCCTCCTCGCCCTGGCGGGCACCCTCCTCTCGCCCTCAGCTCTGCCCTTTCCTCCGCTTCGTCCTTCTATTTATCCTCCTCTCCCTCCTCCTCCTCCTCCTCCTCCTCCTCCTCCTTCTCCTTCTCCTCCTCCTTCTCTTCCGCGCCGTCGCCGCCTTGGCCAGCGCGCGCGCGTTCGCCGACGGCCAAATGGCGAACCCTTTGGGGCACTTTCGCGGGCCATGCCATCGGGGCAACCGCGCGGGCCGCCGGGGCGCGGGGGCGGGCCGTTGGGACAACCCCGCGGGCCAGGTTGTCGGGGCAACCCCGCGGGCCTCGAGGTGGGCGCGGCCGCGCTCAGGCGGGGGGCAACGCGAAACCCAGCCGTGCTGCGAACTGCTCCGCTTCGGTTCTGAAGCTTTCCGCTATCTCGTCGAACTTCTGGAGCGCCTTCCGCAGGGGCGCCGGCGGCCCGCGCCCCAAGAACTTTCGCGTGGGCGGTCGCAGGATCAGCATGTTCCGTATGCGCGTGGCGCGGGAAAACATGACGCAGAGGTGCAGCCACCACTGCTCGTCCGACATGCCCGTGCGACCAGCGTCCTCATCCCTGGCGCAGTCGATGGTGACGCCATCGCCGCGTCGGGGGACTGGGTTGAGCCGAGCGAGTGGCCCTCTTAAGAGCGCAAAAGTGATCCCGCTCGGATTGGCCCGCGAAGGCTCGCATCACCCTTCGTTCCTGAGGAGCCCAACACTGACGATAACAACGAAATCCCGAGGACTCGCTCGTATTCTATCATGGAGCTGCGGGCCCCGTGGCGAGGGGGCTCCCGCTCGAGACTTCCTCGCGACTCACTCACAGACGAGGCTCCCGCCTGAGACATCTCCTCGGGGTTCAAGCTTGGTCAGGGAACCCAAAATTGGCGACAGGTCTAGGTCGCATGACCCGCTCGGATTACCAATGTGCAGCGCGGGCCCCATAGGGAAGGGGCTCCCGCCTGAGACTTCCTCGCGATTCACTTACAAACGAGGTTCCCGCCTGAGGTTTCTTCAGAAATTCAAGCGTGAGGGGTCCCAGACATGATGATAATTACAAAAGGTTTGGATGACCCACTCGGGTTACCGACATAAAATGCGGGATCCATAAGGAAAGTCTCCCGCCTGAGATTTCTTCACAATTCACTCGCAAACGAGGCTCCCGCCGCAGGCTTCTTCATAATTCGAACGCTAGGGGCCCCAAAGTGACGACAATTACACGGTTTGGATGGCCCGCTCCGATTGCCAACGTGACGTGCGGGCTCCATAGGGAGTGGGCTCCCGTCTAAGACTTCCCCGCAATTCACTCACAAGCGAGGCTCCCGCCTGAGGCGACTTCAAAATTCAGGCGTGAGGGGTCCAAAAGTGACGACAGTTACGGGGTTTGGATGACCCGTTCGGATTACCAACATAAAGTGCGGGATCCATAGGAAGGGTCGCCCGCCTGAGATTTCTTCACAATCCACTGACAAACGAGGCTCCCGCCGGAGGTTTCTTCAAAATTCAAGCGTGAGGGGCCCACAAATGACGACACTTACACGGTTTGGATGGCCCGCTCCGATTGCCAACGTGACGTGCGGGCTCCATAGGGAGTGGGCTTCCGTCTAGGACTTCCCCGCAATTCACTCACAAACGAAGCTCCCGCCTGAGGCTTCTTCAAAATTGAAACGTGAAGGGCCCAAAAGTGACGACAGTTAGGGGGTTCGGATGACCCGCCCAGATTGCCAACATGAAGTGCGGGCTCCATAGGGAGGAGGCTCCCGCCTGAGACTTCCGCACACTTCACTCACAAACGAAGCCTTCCTAGGTCGATTATCATGAAGAGATGGTGATATTGATGACGATGTTAGTGTGCGCTGCTGATGGCCGATGACCATGGTGGGATCATGACATGATGGCGACTGACTGATGAGTGAAGGTGGGTGGGTGAAAGGAGTGTGGCTGACGGTGACGGTTGCTGATGCTGATGGTATGGTGATAGTGGTGCTGATTGTGCGTGGGATGATGATTGATGGTAGTGATGATGACGGTGGTGTTGATAAGAGGAGGAGCGGGTGTGAAGAGGACAGGGTGGGTGTGAGGACTGCGTGGGGTGTCCGGAGGAAACGAACAACCCATTTAGGATGTGAGGAACAAATCCGGGGGGCAGACGCAAGCAAACTTCCTCAGGCATCCGCGCAATCTGGGCGCGAGCGGGCGTGTGTCGTACCCCTTGGCGGCTCCCCCTGGGGGTGACCAAGTGCCGCGCCTGCTAGATCGCGGTGAACTGTAGACCACCAAAGGAGAAAAGCCAGGGGGGCAGAAACAGGCAACCCGCCTGAGACGCCCCCACAATCTGGGCGTGACCGGTCGAGTGTCATACCCCCTGGCGGCTTCCCTTTTTAAGGGGCCCAAGTGCCACGCCTGCTATATCGCGGTGAGCAGCGGACCACGATGGGAGTATGATTGAGTCTGAATGAGGAAGTGTGTGTCGGAGTGAAAGAGTCTGAATGTGGATGAGAGTATCTGCGTCTGAGGCTGATTCCCTGAGAGGGTCTGAGTGAGTCTGAATCTGAATGAGGAAATGATGTGGCTGAGCCTGCGTGGGGAACAGTGAGGCTGTGATGAACCCGTAAAGCAGAGTGGTCTGTCATGGATCCCGCGATGGGTGTGAGTGAGTTATCTGACTGTGAGTATCTGAGTGACATGAGAGTGAAGAAGAGGTCGATGAGGAGAATGAGGAGAAGGAAGCCTGGAAGTGACTACGGAATCAGAAGAACCCTTTTCTAGGACATGGGGAACATCGCCCACAACATAACCAGTGAAGAAGCGGCCCAAAGCCGATCCAAGAAATCTGCGCGGAGCTTCGACAATTTTGTTCGCGCGAATCTTTACATTCGGTCCACGGGCCCTCATTCTACCTGAAAGCAACTCGGGGCGAGAGACTGGTCCTGGGGGGAGGTGTTCCAGAGGTCCAGAACCCGCTTCCCTCAGGACCCATCTGCGTGAAGTGCCGGCAGCCAACGAGAGCCCAGGCTGGCTGGGGCGAGCTGTGGGATTTCCCCTCCGCCGCAGGCCGCCAATCCGTCTGCGCGTGCTTACTGTCCGCATCTCGGCCAGACCGTGGCACGTGGAGGGAAAGTCGCCAGGCGGCACTTCCCCAGGCGAGCCCAACAACTGTGCGCGCGTCTCCCGCCGTCCGAAGAGGAGCTTCTTCCGCCCGGCCGTCCTGCGACTGGTCCGCGTTGGGCCTGATCAGGAAGGTGCGCTGTGCGCCCAGCGACAGCGATATGATGAGGGTGTCTTGGGTCAGGGAGTCGAACAGGGGCTCGTCGTCCGAGTGCCACCCCACCTCTCGCGGGCGTGGCAGATGGGGCAAGAGGATGGGGGGGACCGCACATAAGCAATGAGTTCGGACCCCTGCGGCGCAACATGCCCCCCCCACCGGACCCCCCAAAATTAAGATTGAGGGTGCGGCAATGGAGATGGCGTGGGTGGACCAACGCATTCGAACCCGCGGGCAATCAGCCATGCTAAAGGAAACATTGACTTCCGGGGCGGGGGGTGATGAGCATCCCACTCAAGTGTGCGAGGGTTCGAATATCTTGTCCATGCGCTGGAGGTCGGTCGGCCGCTCAGGGCACCTCGACGGCGGCTCTGCCTAGCACAGATCCCTGACCGTCAGCCTCTCCACATTGCAAGAGCTGCCGCGCCGCCGCCTACGCGAGCTGCCCCCTCGACCACGCCCCAGAGTGCTGAACGCTGGCCGCGTGGCAATACAGTACAGCTGGACCTAGGATAGAAGAGCATCCTTCAAGAACAGGAGACCCTCCGCTGGCCCAAACTGAATTTGCCGGCCCAACGGGCCAGATGCGTGCTAAGATCTCCGGTAACTACTTAACAAATAGTTCGCGCGCGCGGGGCGGCCCCTGGGGGCCCCCGGACGAAAAGTACCCCGGCCGATCCCCGGCTGGGTCCCGGGCGATCCCCAGGGGGGAGGCTATTTTTCGCCACCCCTCACCAGGATCGTGGCCTCCGAGGGGGTGGCTGCAATCGACTACCCCCCCTCCCGCCCCCAGGGGCCCCAAGAGCCCCCAAGAGGCCCCAGGGGAGCCCAAGACGCCGCCAAGGAGCCCCAAGACGCTCCCAAGAAGCTTCCAAGAGGCCCCCAAGACGGCCCCAAGAGGCCCCAAATAGCGCTGCAGGGCCGGTGGAATGAGCGAAGCGATAAAATAATATTCGAGGGCGCCCTCCCCCAGGATGCGCCACAACATCCAACAAACACGAAGAACATTAGGGTCAACTCCCCGAGCTGACCTCGATCTTATACCTCGGTCCGACTGTAGAGCCGACCCTATTGGTGTGTGTGTGTGTGTGTGAGGCTTTTCCGTTTGAATCGTCCTCGTCGTCGTTACCGCTCCCCCTCAAGCGTTCCAGCCAGAGGGGAACCGAACAACGTCGTAGTCGAATCGAAGGAGAGCCCCTTGCTGGCCTTTGATCCCCCTGCCGCCGAAGGGGGGGGGGATGCCACTGGGGGTGGAGGGGGCGTCCCGGGGGGGTGGGGGGGGAAGGCGGTTCCCGGGGTTGTGACCCCTTCACCCGCCAGGGGGGGGAGCATTCCTCCCTGGGAGAAGCTTCCAGCTCCAGGGCGTCAGCGTCGTCGTCGTCCTCCTTCGGAGTCGGCGGCGCTAGCCGCAAGGCCTTCGCAATCTTGCCATGATGAATCTTGGGGTCTTTCGGTGCCCCAGAGCTTCTGTGGGTCCCCGAGGCCATCGGGGGATAAGAAGCTTTCATGTGGCACCAGTTGCAAGGCCGATTTGATTTTGGATGCGCCTACTGTAGCAGCGCTCTGAAGCTGTCGACGATGCGAAGCGTAGGGTCGGAGGGATGGCGTGGGCTGTGCGGTGCAACTTTGGTATCCGACAATCTCCCCACCGTCTGCTTGCCGTCCTCGTACAAGTTGACGTTGCAGCAATTCGGGCTGAGCGGCCGCCAATTTTTGCAAGCCGCAGCCCCGCCCCCCGCGGATGCGCTCGTGCCCTCTCAGGTGAAGGGGACAACTGCCGATTCGGGGGAGTGGCCCGCCACAACCTGCTTGTCCACCTCTAGATGAGCGACGAAAAGACATGGGACTTCCGCGAGATGATGCCACCGTACGCGATGGCTTACGCGGCCCGTCATCGCCGCACGCTGCATTGGAAACGAAGGCGCCCAGGCGCCATCCTATACACGAAACGCACGCACGAATGTTGCGCAATCGATCTCGTTTTCTTCCGTCGCCCAGATGGAGCGGAACACGCTCGCTGAACGCCGAAACGGGGCGTGATGGCGGCCTTACAACGAGCCGCGAACTAGGCGGTCAGACCAAGGGGGGCGGAAGAGAGCTCGGCGGTGAGGCGCCGTTTTCTTGATTTTTTGGGTGCACCCGAACGGAGGTCTCTCTAAGACGAAGCTAAGACAGAGACAACATCGGGCAGGGGTAAATGGGAGATCTCTGAGATCCGGCGGATCTGAAGGATGTATCAGGCGCCGCGGCCTTCTCAAGGCGTTCCAGAACGTTCTAAGGCGTTTGGGGCGCTTTGGAACGATGCACCCCTGTCCTGGCCCCGCCCGACTCTTCGTTTCCCTTGAGAAGTCGACGTCGCGAACAAAATGCAACCTTGGGAGCAATCACCACTGGAGACTGGAGCCCCAGACCACGCCTCACTGCATCACTTCTCGAGCCTGATCGATCTGTGAGATTCTGGGGGCCCGAAGCTGGGCGAATTTTTTTTGATCCGCGGGTCGAGAGCGAGCCTCTTCTGGTCGAAGCTAAGCGGGCCGCGCACAACTTTAATTGACAGAGGGAGGATAACAGAATGAGGGGCCTCACGTCAAGGCCAGGAGAGGGCAAAGCCCCGGGATCAAGCGGTGCCGAAGGCGAAGTGCATGCAAAAAAACGCCTTGTACAGGAACCTGGAGGCGAAGTACCGGGAGAGCAACATGCAACAAAAGAAAAGCTGGGCGAACACGCCGGGCAGGAACAACTGGGAACGCCCAGATCTCAGGGTTCGCCCCCCCCGTCGGCTAGGCGACGCGCAAGGAGTGGCCCCAGGCGAGAGTGACCTCTGGTGCGCAACTTTACGGGGCCGCGAGGGCCCTCAATTCAAAGCGCGCAGGCCAATGCTCGGGGGGACCACGGCGGGCCTGCATCAGAGGTCACTCTGGCGCAAGGCCCGGAGACCGGCGCTTCGTCCTGAGAGTCTTCCTTCCACAGCCCCTCCCGCCGTGTCTTTTTACATCGACTCTGCAGGCGCACTGACAATGACAAGAACTTCAGCCTGCCTCGGGCACATCCCGGAAGGCTCCACGCTCCGACGGCGCCCCGGCCGTCCGCGGTCCTCTCCCCTGGAGGAGGAGGAGGACTCTGACTCTGACTCTGACTCTCTGAGGCTCATGGTCAGCCTACCAGGAGGAGGAGGAGGAGGAGGAGGAGGAGGAGGAGGAGGAGGAGGAGGAGGAGGAGGAGGAGGAGGAGGAGGAGGAGGAGGAGGAGGAGGAGGAGGAGGAGGAGGAGCTTTCCCTCCCTGCCTTCCTTGCCGCCCTAGTGCCCAGTCCGCTCCGCAGCAGCCCTGCCGTAGCTCCGACCACAACCTGGATCCGCGGCGCCGCCGAGCGAACAATTTTTCAGTCTGCCTCGTCGAGGGGGCGTGGGGGTCCCCCGGCGCCTCGGGGCATCGGGCCTGGGCGTGCTCGGGGCTCCTCTGGGCGGGGATGCTGTCGTGGTAGGATTGGCTCAGGATGCGTTTCGGGATCTCCAGAGCGTGTACTGGCAGCCATCGTTTCTGGAGCCCGCGTGGAGCAGTTGTGAATCTGGTGCGTCCCGGAAGCCTGGGAAATCTTGCTTGGGACGTATCATTCGGATGACCTCTTGCTCCAGGATTTCCAGTATTTCAAGATTCCAGAATTGTCCACACGGGCTGCAGAAACGCGGGTCGCAAGATACTCTTGAAATCCTGAAACGCATCCTGAACCAATCCTACCATGACGTCGTTCTCGTCCTACACTACTCGGGGCTCTTAGCAAGGGGGAAACGGGTCCTCAGGGAACGGGTGCCGGACCCTGCGATCTTCCCCCAGGAGGAGACCTTCATCCTGGATCGTTTTCTCCGACAGCCCCGAGGCCCATGGAGAGCCCCGAGAGCCCGAAAACGGCGAAAAGCCTCGGGACCCCTTTCCCTCCTGACCCGCTCGCTTCGTGGCGATCTCACCCCCCCGACGTTTCGTCTCTCGTCTGTTGTCTGTCGTCCGTCGTCGTCGTGGTCGCTTTCCCCCGTGGCGAGGCTCCTGCCCCGCCCGGCACGCCCGGCCGAGGCCCGCCGAGCCCTGGCCAGCGCCTCGGCCGGCCGCGCGCGCTCTCGAGGCCCACCGACGGGGGGCGCGCACGTGCGGCCACCCCGCCGCGGTGCGCTCTCGCCCCGGCCTCCCGAGGGGCAACGCCAGCTGGGGTCGGAGTCCGGCGGGGGTGCTACCATGATGGCTGGGGTCGGCGTCCAGCTGGGGTCGGAGTCCAGCTGGGGTCGGAGTCCAGCTGGGGTCGGAGTCCAGCCGAGGCCTCCCAGAGGGGGTCGGAGTCCGGCCGTCGGGCTGCCACGAGAGGAAGGAGCAACCAGGGGAGCGAAGGGGCTCTACGGGCCACGGCGGGCCTGGGCCACGAGCAGGCTCCACGACACGACCTGAAGAAGCGGCCCGAAAGCCCGAGCCCCTCCCGAGCCCCAAGGGGTCCTTATTTCAGCGCCTCGGCTGCAGTGGAGGCCTCCCAGATGGGGTCGGAGCAGATGGGGTCGGAGGATGGCGCCGTATCGCCGATGCATCGGCGATGTATCGGCGACGTCGGCGGTGCATCGGCGACGCTGGCGTGGAGAATATCGTGCTACACGTCGACGCCGATGCATCGCCGATGCGGCGCGATCCTCCGACCCCATCTAGGATTAGGTCGGGCCCGTCCCCTACAGGGGGATTTTGGACGAAAAATGAAAAATACGCAGAACATGCTCAAAATATGGCAAAAGTACTAGAAAAATAGTCCCCAGACTTTGACTATTTTTGAGTATCCCCCCTGTAGAGGGACAGGCCCGAATTCAATCTGGGAGGCCCAGCAGATAGGGGAGAGGTTCGAGGTTCTGGTCGAGGCTCGAGCTTCAGATCGACGCTTTCCCGCGCTCTCTCGGCGGCTTCCCCGCCGCGGGATTCCCCCCGGCTCGCCGAGAGCGTCCCGGCGGCGCCCAGATCGTCCCGCGCGGCCGCCGGAGGCCCCAAGTTCTGGCCCGAAGACCACCTCAGACTGGTTCAGGTGGGGGGAATCCTTCTCCTCCTCCTCCTCCTCCTCCTCCTCCTCCTCCTCTCCTCCTCCTCCTCCTCCTCCTCCTCCTCCCTCCTCCTCCTCCCTCCTCCCTCTCCTCCTCTCCTCCTCCCTCCTCCCTCCCTCCCTCTCCCTCCTCCTCCTCCCTCCCTCCTCCTCCTCCTCCTCCTCCTCCCTCCTCCCTCCTCCCTCCTCCTCCTCCCCCTCCTCTCCCTCCTCCTCCCTCCTCCTCCTCCTCCTCCTCCTCCTCCTCCTCCTCCCCTCCTCCTCCTCCTCCTCCTCCTCCTCCTCCTCCTCCTCCTCCTCCTCCTCCTCCTCCTCCTCCTCCTCCTCCCTCCTCCTCTCCTCCTCCTCCTCCTCCTCCTCTTTCTCCCTCCTCCTCCCTCCTCCTCCTCCTCCTCCTCCTCCCTCCCCTCTCCCTCCTCCTCCTCCTCCTCCTCCTCCTCCTCCTCCTCCTCCTCTCCCTCGATTCCCTTCTCCCCCCCCCGACACGTTGCTGATAGATCGGCGACAGGCCCCCGATGGCGAATCCGCGCGTTCCTGGGCGGGGTGGGGCTATCAGACCCCTATCGGCGATCCACGGGCGATGGGGGGTCGATGCGTTCCCCTTTGATGCCTATCCCCCCCTATCTCGGCTCCCCGGGCGGCCGTTCGGGACAATCTGGGCACCCCCAGGACGCTCTCGGCGAGGCGCAGCCGCTGGAAAGCGCCCCGAGGTTGGAAAACCGCAAAAACCTCGAGCCTCCAATAGTGGCCTCGCATTTTGGCTCCGAGTAGATGGGGTGGGAGGATCGCGCCGCATCGCCGATGCATCGGCGCCGTCGCCCTATCATTGCTCCTGACCTCCCCGTCGCGGGGGCGGGGGGGGGGGTCCTGCAACAGCCAGACCCAGACATGCTCGCGTCGTGGAAAAAGCACGGCGGGAAGTGTTTGGCCGTTTTCAGCCTCTGGGGGCCCTCGCCGGGCCTCGGGACCGCCAAAGAAAAACCCGGGATGCAAAACTGGCCCAGGGGAAAGAGTCGGGACTGCTGTGGACATGGTATAAGGCAACGCCAACATGTCGCATGCCTGGGAAACGTCTTGCAAGTTCCGGGTCGGACGAAATGGGGGGGGTAGTGAAGGGATGGGTTGAGGGATGAAAAAAACGACCCTACCCTGGGTTGCAAGTGCGTGGTCTGTAAACCTCCTGGGAACCCCCAAAGCCTAGAGCCGCCAGGACGCGGCACATCACGCAGGGATTACCCTGTCAACCCACAGGAGTTTCAGCGCACAACGCCTCGTAAACCAGGGTAGGGGCGTTTTTTTATGCCCTTGATGGGTAGCGATTCAGCTCACGTAGCTAGAATGTTCCCGGCGCCTCCTCGCGTCGCCAGGCGCGAGTGCACCGCGGACATACGCCCAGCGGCGGGGCCGACACGGGCAGCGTGCAGCAGATTTCATAGGTCCCCCTTCCCTTCCCCCCCCCTTTCGTCAGACCCGACCGTCACGAGGCACGTCTCTGCGCCAACAAAAAACCCGTCAGGCGACTCGGGACCTACAACGTTAGAAGAACTGTCCAGGGGGCCGGCCCCCCGTTTCTGGAGAGGGCCGTGCGACAGCAGTGGGCAAGGAGCTCTTGACCGTCACTCGATGGCCTCCTTTGCGGTGCGCTGCGCAGATCTTCTGACCCGGGTCAGCCCAAACCCGTGTCAGTCAGGCTTTGCAGAATCCTGCAAGATGCTGCATGATCCTGCAGGATCCTGCACCCAAGCCTGGGTCCATGCAACCCTGGCTCTGCATGATCCTGCAAGACCCGGCGCTCTGACTAACCCTCGTTTGTATTGACTCCCGTCTCTTGAGCCCCGAACACGATGGCGGGATGGGCCGCCAGCAACTAGATCGGAGCTTGGAAAGTGAGACGGAATTGAACTGTATACGGCAGGTTCGTGTCGTGTGGACCCTGGCGTTGGTTTCTGACACCGCGTGAATCGTTCAACCTTGAACGATCGGCGGTTTGTAGATCGCCAGATCGCTCCATATCGGCCGATTTTGAGCCACTGGCGGCGTCCAACCTTGAACGCCTGCGGCATGTGTCGCTGCCGCGTCAACACGACACGAACCTACCGCACCCCAACCTGGCAATCGGTTTCTAACAGGGGATATGTCGACCCCTCTCCCAGGCTTTGGGAGGTTCTCGACTGCACCAGAGATTTGGGGCCCAACCCTGGGATACAGGACGGGGGGCGTCCACCCTCGATCGGGGTGCGTCCGATGAGCGCCCCTTGGGGTGCATCCCCGAGTTTGCCTCCTTTTCTGAGCGGCTAGATTTTCGTGGAAAGGTCGGGGTCCTCCTCCTCCCTCCTCCTCCTCCTCCTCCTCCTCCTCCTCCTCCTCCTCCTCCTCCTCCTCCTCCTCCTCCTCCTCCTCCCCCTCCCCCTCCCTCTCTCCTCCTCTCTCCTCCTCCTCCCTCCTCCTCCTCTCCTCCTCCTCCTCCTCCTCCTCCTCCTCCTCCTCCTCCTCCTCCTCCTCCTCCTCCTCCTCCTCCTCCTCCCTCCCTCCTCCTCCTCCTCCTCCTCCTCCTCCTCCTCCTCCCTCCCCGCCCTCCCTCCTCCCTCCTCCTCCTCCTCCTCCTCCTCCTCCTCCTCCTCCCTCCTCCTCCTCCTCCTCCTCCTCCTCCTCCTCCTCCTCTCCTCCTCCTCCTCCTCCTCTCCTCCTCCTCCTCCTCCTCCTCCCCTCTCCTCCTCTCCCACCCCCCTCCTCCCCCCCCTCCTCCTCCTCCTCCTCCTCCTCTTCCTCCTCTCTCCTCCTCCTCCTTCCTCCTCCTCCTCCTCCTCCTCCTCCTCCTCCTCCTCCTCCTCCTCCTCCTCCTCCTCCTCCTCCTCCTCCTTCCCTCCCCTCCTCCTCCTCCTCCTCCTCCTCCTCCTCCTCCTCCTCCTCCTCCTCCTCCCACCCCCCCTCCTCCCTGTGGGTGAGAAATCGCCTCTGCGAATTACGATTCCGTGCCGTGCCGTGCGGGCAAGGCGAGGCGCAGTAGCGCGCGCTTTTGCACCAACTCGGCCCACAAAGGTCCGCGCCAGAGCGAGCTGGGTCCCTGTGCGCTGGGGCGTGCCTGGGGTTCTACGTGTGGCTGCTCTGCTGGCTGTCCCGCTGCTTGTCCTGCTGGTGGTCCTGCTGGTTGTCCTGATGGTTGTCCCGATGGTTGTCTGGATGGTTGTCCTGCTGGTTGTCCTGCTGGTTGTCCCGATGGTTGTCCCGATAGTTGTCCCGATGCTTGTCTGGATGGTTGTCCTGCTGGTTGTCTGGATGGTTGTCCAGCTGGTTGTCCTGATGGTTGTCTTGCTGGTTGTCCTGCTGGTCGTCCCAATGTTTGCCCCGATGGTTGTCTCGATGATTGTCCTGCTGGTTGTCCCGATGGCTATCTCGATGTAAGTCGATGTGGATCCAATGCAAGTCCAGTGAGTTGTCAATCCCCCTCAACCTTCTTATCACCCGAAGGTTTGCCTTTGCGGTATACAAAGACTTGTCCGCATGGTGAGGCGATCCCCTGGCATCTACCTGATACAAGCGACCAGGACAATCACATAATAATGATACATAGCGAACACAACAGACATGCTACTTATACCCCCGTTTCCTGATGCGGCGTGCCGGTCCCTACAAGACCTCGAACCTTTAGACGTATCTCACAGTCCATGTTCTCGAGGACGAAACGACTGCACAAACATAACCATTAACCTTCTTGGGTCGGCGCTGGGCCCCTCTTGCTGCGGCGCGGGGCGCGACAAGGGCGGCACCAGAGGCGCCGCCAAGGGGGTCCAACGCCGATCCGAGAAATCCGCGCGGAGTTCAGAACAATTATGTATGTTTATGCCATGATTTTTTCTTCGGACCTAGTAGAACACAACATAGATGCTACTTATACCTCCGCCCCCTGATGCGGCGTGCCGGTCCCCACAATGCCTTCAACCTCTTCACGTACCTCACTGTCCCTTCCCAAACCCCCGACGTCATGATATCTTCACCCCACTCCCCAAGACTGCTTTTCCGTCCCGAGTGGGTCCCGGATCCCGGGTCCCGGCGAAGGCCCTCGAAGACAGAAAATAGTAATTGAGCAGGGACCGACCGTCCCGGCATTCCTATAGTCCTACCACGAAATGTTCTTAGAACCCAAAAATGTTCTTAGAACAATAACAATGTTCTTAGAACATAAACCCGATGCGTTAAAACGAGACAGTCCCAGCCAGAAATGTTCTAAGAACATTTCGTGGGAACCACAAAAGGTTCTTAGAACATTGTTTGGTAGGGCTATAGGCGAGCAAGGACGCTTCGCCACTGCTTGAAGTAAAGCACCGTCCGTCGTGACTTTTTCGCAGCGCGAGGGGGTCTGGGTTCGCGCCCCCCCAAAGCAGGTGTCATGTCGGTGATGCCGCACTCGGCGCACACGCGCTTGGTGATCTCCAGGAACCACGGATCCATCTGCTGGGCTGGCCAGGACGTCCCGCTGTACCTGTACCTCAGGCGGCCATCTGCACTGCAACGCAGAGGCGCACTTGGGGTGCAGGTGGTAGCGGCGGCAGCAGCAGCAACAAACACTACACCAGAGTGAGAAACAACGGCATTGACATAAACTTTCAGGGCTCCGCGCGGATTTCTTGAATCGGCGCTGGCCCCCCCCCCCCCCCCCCGGCGGCGCCTCCAACGCCGTCCCTGGCACGCTCCGCGCGGCAGGGAGGGGGTCCAGCGCGGGTCCACGAAACCCGCGCGGACCTTCAGATGTTCGAATTTATGCATTTTTTGCTGTTCTTCTTCTTCCGCGCGGTAGGGAAGGAGTCCAGCGCGGATCCAAGAAACCTGTGTGAACCTCCAGATGCTTGAGTTTACGCATTCTTCTTCTTCTTCTCCTCCTCCTCCTCCTCCTCCAATGAAGGAGAAAAGGAGGAGGACAAGGAGGAGGTGGAGGAGGGAGAGACGGAGGAGGAGGAGGAGGAGGACCAGTGTAAACACCCTGAGGCATGCCAAAACATTATTCTCGGGACTCCAACGCACCGGATCAATCTGACTGTTGCGTTTTGACGATCCTGAATCTTGCCAGAACGCAGTTCCAAGGACTTCAACACAGGGCGTCAACATAACTGTTGCACACGCATAATCCTGAATCCTTCCGCAACGCCATTTCTGGTACGTTGATGATGGGAATCCGTGAAACTCTTGCAAATTAAAAAAAAACGTGTGTGCGCCGCGCTCAGGCGAGAAATACATTTAAAAAGGAGCCGTCCTCAATCTGTGAAGCTCAACTATAACAGCGAATGTGTGCCGCGCTAAAGCGAGAGCCACATTTTGAAAACGACCAGCCCTCAATCCGTGAAGCTCCCGCAAATTTTCAAAACGAATGTGTGCCGCGTTCAGGCGAGAACCACATTTTGAAAACCACCCGCCCTCAATCCGTGAAGCTCTTGCAAATTTACGAAACGAATGTGCGCCGCGCCCAGACGAGATCCACATTTTGAAAACCACCCGCCTCCAATCCGTGAAATTTTGCCATTGTTTGAAACGAATGTGCGCCGCACTAAAGCGAGAGCTGCATTTTGAAAACCGCCCGCCCTCCATCGGTGAACCTGAAGCGAACTTCCTAAGCTGCAAGGTCATACGTGGTGAGGAAGTCCCAGGCGACACGCCCGGCCCGCCCCAAAAACGGGTGCGACAGGGGGACATTCGGGGATGGACAGACCCCCCTTTAGCAGAACGTGGTTTAGTGAAAGCGACCTGAGGCCCAAACCTGGCGGGCGCAAGCCTGGAAAATAACGGCCACGGCGCCCTCTCGAGAACCGAAAACGGACAATTCACTAATCGACGTGTCACTGCTGGGGGTTCTGTCCACCCCCGAGGGAAATTCTGCATAAGGACATGGAATCGAGGAGCAGGGGGGGGGGGGGGCAGACACAAGCGGCTGGGTGGGGTGGTCCCCCCGTCCCTCTTCTCCCCGCGGCCCTGCCCCCGTCTGCCCCCCCTGCCCTTCGGCGGCGAGCGAGGGGGGGAAGTGAGGAGGAGAAGGCCTTCCCAGCAGGCTGTGGATATGCGATCGACTGCAGAATTTGTTTACCCCAGAATTGCTTCTTCCCGTCCAGGCAGTCTACGAAGAATACGAAGAATGTTCAGCAATGTCTGCGTATCTTGTCGTAAGTTCGACGGGAAACCACATCTGGGGCAAATCAATTCTGTGATCGATCCCTTACTCGAAGGTTGAGATGTCCCCCGGCTCTCTGACAAGTTTTTTTGAACCTTCCCCGAAGACGCCGACAACTTCTGAGGAGGCGCGAGGGCTCCTGAGAAGCCCTCCGCCCTCTGCGAAGACCACCTCCTTCTCACCTCCGCCCCTCGCTCGCCGCCGAATCCCCCCCTCCCCCCTCCCCGCTTTTCGGGTGCCCCCCCGCGCGGCGGGAGGTCATATAGAGAGACGGCCCCCTCTTCCCGCGCACTCCATGCCAGTGCCAAATATAAGACACATCGGAGGACAAATCTCGGGGTGCTCCTCTTCGAACGTGCCAGTACATGTCACGACGAGCCCCTCGGCCACAATCCGATGGATACCTGTAGGACCCCCCTTCGGGTGATCATGAGGCTGGGGGGATGGGTGTAGCTTTCTCTCTGCGAGTGGCGTCAGATCGGATTCGCGATCTACCTAGCCAGCGACCTCGACATCTATCAGTCTACCGATGCCACTATCACTCTTCTGCCCGACACAACTTTCTTGGGGCTAACAACTTTTAGATCGCCATCACTGAGAGTCTCTCTCTCTCTTATCTCTCTCTGTCCCTCGCTATATATAGATATCTCTCTCTCTTTCTCGCTATATCTATCTATGTATGTCTATATCTATCTATCTATCTATCTATCTATCTGTCTATCTATCTATCTATCTATCTATCTATCTATCTATCTCTCTATCTCTCTCTCCATATATATATATATAATATATATAATATATATTTATATTATATTATATTATTATTATTATATATATTATATATATATATATATATATATCCGCTGACGTGCCTCGAGGCACGAGTTGGAGTGCCCCCAGGTCGCTCAGACGCCCCCCGTGTTGAGACTGTGCCGCTCTCTTCTCCAAGGGTGCCACGGCCCCGCGCGCCGGACGCCACGTCTGCGCCTCTGCGGCTTCCCTCGCGGCCCCCGCGGCTTGCGTCCCTGGGCCCCGACGTGGGCCAAGAGGGCCCCAAGAAGCCCTTCGGTGGCCTCCAGACGGCCCCAAGAGGCCCCCAAAACGTCCCAAGAGGGCTCCAAGGTGTCCCCCGGAAGGGCCCCGAGAGGTGCCCAGATCCTTGGTCTCCCGCAGGTTTGCCTGCTGATTTTTTTTTTGAAGTCTCGCCTTTTCTCGCTTCCGACGCTCCGAGACGGCCCAAGAAGCCTCCAAGATCGCCCCGAGAGGCCCCCCAGGCACCCAGGGGGCCTCCCAGAAGCCCTAAGAGGCCCAAATCAGGCCCCAAGAGGCTCCCGCGGGGCCCCGAGATGCCCCAAGACACTTCCTAAACGGCTTCCAAGAGGCCTCCGAAAGGCCTCCCAAGAGATCCCGACAGGCATCCAAGATGCCTCCGACCTACAACCTGGGCACGGTGGCGGGATTGGCCGAAGAGCACTAAGTCCGCCGCCCCCTGCTTGCAGGGGTGCACGGCGTGCTGGATGAGCTGTCAGGTTTTGGTTTTGGTTCTTTTTCCAAAAGAACTCCCCAGTGGGCTCCGGCCCGTCCCGCCGGGGTCCCGGGAGGAAGCCGAAAACACCTCAATCCGGAAAAAAATCCTCCAAAAACGGCCGTTTCGCTCGGGACATCCTCAAAAAATCGCGAAGATGGCCCAAGATGGCCTCCAAGTCCGCCCGAGATGGTCCAAGACGGCCTCCAAAACGGCCCAAGAGAGTCCAAGACGGCCCAAGACGGCCCAAGAGGCCCCCCAGAGGCCTCCCAGACGGCCCAAGAGGCCTCCAAGAGGTCCTCCAGGAGAGTCCGAAGAGGCCAAAATCATTGATTTTCCTTGGTTTTTGAAGGATTTTGGCATTTGCGCCTTTTCGGCTCTCCGACGGCTCAAGACGGCCCAAGAAGCCCCCAAGATCGCCCAAGAGGCCCCCAAGAGAGCCCCTGATGGCCCAAGTGGCCTCCAAGATGGCCCCTAGAGGGCCCCAAGAGGGCCCAAGAGGCCTCCAACACGCCCAAGATGGCCTCCAAGACGCCCAAGATGGCCTCCAAGACGGCCCTGGAGCGCCCCAAGAGGGTCCCCCGTTGGCCCAGAAAGGCCCCCAAAACGGCTCCCGACGGCGTCAGACGTGCCAGGAACCCACCAAGATGGCCGAAGTTGGCTCGAAGCTGGCCCAAAAGGGCCCAAGAGGCCCCCAAGAGGGCCTCCAGGAAGGCCAAAAGATGCCAAAATCACTGATTTTCCCAAGGTTTTTGATGGATTTGGGCATTTCCCTTTTTTCGGCCTTCCGACGGCCCGAGACGGCCCAAGAGCCCCCAAAGATCGCCGAAAGATCGCCCAAGAGGCCTCCAAGACGGCGACGATGACCATCAAGACGCCCACGTGTTCCCCGAAGGCTTTCCAAACCGATTCGGGGAACACATGGTCCGATGGCTTGGCAGGTCTGGCCTCAACGTTCGGCCACATAGGCGCTTCCACAAAGGCAGGGGGCGGCGGTGATTCGCCGTAGGCGTCTTCGATCCGCCGCCCCCTGTGGTCTTGCCACAGGGGTGCACGGCGTGCTGGATGTTTCAGGTTTTGGTTTTGGTTCTTTTTCTAAAAGAACTCCCCAGTGGGCTTCGGCCCGTCCCGCCGGCCACCCGCAAGTTTCCGAAAATCCATCTGTCAATGCCTTTGTTGCCCCAACTTGGCCCAAGATGGCCTCCAAGACGGCCAAGATGGCCCAAGATGGCCTCCAAGATGCTTCCAAGACGGCCAAGATGGCCTCCAAGACGGGTAAGATGGCTCCAAGATGCACCCAAGACGGCCCAAGATGGCCTCAAGATGGTCTAAGACGGCCCAAAAGGCCCGCAAAAGGCCTCCAAGACGGCCCAAGAGCCCTCCAAGACGCCCTCCAGGAAGGCCCGAATAGGTTAAAATCATTGATTTTCCTTAGGTTTTTCAAGGATTTTGGCATGTTCTTCTTTTCAGCTCTCCGACGGCCCAAGACGGCCCAAGAGGTCCCCAACATCGCCCCAACAGCACCCAAGAGGCCTCCAAGATGGCCCCATGACGGCCCAAGAGGCCCCCAAGAAGGCCCCAAGAGGGCCTCAAGACGGCCCAAGAGGCCTCCAAGACGCCCAAGATGGCCTCCAAGACGGCCAAGATGGCCCAAGATGGCCTCCAAGATGCCTCCAAGACGGCCAAGATGGCCTCCAAGACGGGTAAGATGGCTCCAAGATGCACCCAAGACGGTCCAAGATGGCCTCAAGATGGTCTAAGACGGCCCAAAAGGCCGGCAAAAGGCCTCCAAGACGGCCCAAGA